CACAGCAAGAGAGAAGACAACCCCAATAGACAAGCACGTTTTAAGCCTCAGCTCGTGTTATGTTTGCTAATGTCCCTTTGGTCAAAGCAAGGCGTATAGCCAAGTGCAGAGTTGTGGAAGGGACTAACACAAGGGTGTAGATATAGGGAGACGTTATACAGTGGGGTTCATTACTGTAACTACCCTCTGGTCCCAGTGATCCATGTCCTTCCCTTGTGCAAGATAAACTCACCCCCCTCCCAGGATCCCCAGAAGTTTCATCCTCAAAGTCCAGTATCATATGCATATCAGTCTGGATGTGGCTAAGGCTTCTTCAGTGAAACTCCTTTTGAGTCAGAGATGTATATTAAAAGACAATTTATTTGTTTCCCTCTACCCCCAACTACCCACCTAGCACACAGTGGTGAGACATGGACAGGAAAACTGCAATATACACTCCCATTCAGAAAGGGGAGGAGTTGGAGGCACATAGGAGGCCTCTTCATTTTGAACTGTCTCCAGCCCTTTTAGTAAAGCTGATATGACTTCTTTACAGTATATATATATATTTTATTTTATTTTATTTTATTTTATTTATATATATTTGGCTGCGTTGGGTCTTCGTTGCTGTGCGTGGACTTTCCCTAGTTGCGGCGAGCAGAGGCTGCTGTTTGTTGCAGTGCACGGGCTTCTCATTGCAGTGTCTTCTCTTGTTGCAGAGCATGGACTCTAGGTACGTGGTCTTCAGTAGTTGTGGGGCACAGGCTCAGTAGTTGTGGCTCATGGGCTCTAGAGCGCACCCTCAGTAGTTGTGGCTTTGGGGCTTAGTTGCTCCGTGGCATGTGGGATCTTCCCGGACCAGGACTCGAACCCATGTCCCCTGCATTGGCAGGCAGAGTCTTAACCACTGTGCCACCAGGAAAGCCCTGATATGACTTCTTTAAAAACTCTTTGGGTTTCCCATGTATCAGATTATATTACTCTATTAAACAAAAAGCTACAATCACATTTCCTTTCCAGATAGGCCTCTAATCTTTGGGCAGGGTGTCAGTGCTGTGGGACAATACCTGTAAGAATCTCAGAAGCCCTTTTGTCTACTAGGCATCACCTTAACAATTTCAGAGGTCATAACGTTTGGGTCTTTTAGCCAAACTCTTGATCTTTACCCTGAGGCCATTTCTTATTTTGAGACTCTTGCTGGCTGGAGAGACTGGAGATGTAAAAGTTTTATTTTCCAACCCAGCAAGTGCTGGCTTGTCTATATTTCCTCTAAATTATGCTTGCGAACTGCTTAGTTGTTTCTTTAACTCTTCTCTTTCTATACATTATCATGTATAGAAGCTAGGTAGAAACATCCAACTGAAGCTTTTAACAGGTTTTCAGGAGATCTGTTTAGTCAGATGTGAAATTCATTAGGTATTTTTTCTTTATTCTAAATTAGTCCCCCAGACTGCTAGCTGTGTTGCTACTCAGTGGGAGAGGTTTGAAATGGATAAATGGTAAATGGTAAATCCAGTTAGTGTTTACCATACCCTCCCTACATGCATGGGTCTCAGACAAAGAAACCATGAATCTTTCTAGAGCTGCAGGAATACCAGTTGTATTAAACTTGTTGAAATAATGTAGGTTGGTCTGTAACGTAGCTCCTTTGTCAGAGATTTTCAAGGTATGTGTGTGTGTGTTTTTTCTGAGGAGGATCTATAAGATCAGATCACTACAGGGACTGGGCAGGAACTTGAATGAGTGAATAGTCTTTTTCTCTCTAACATTTAATTATGAACAGCTTCAAACATAAAGAAAAAAATACAAAGACTTGTACATTGACATTCACATACCCACCACCTAGATTCAATAATGAGTATTTTGCAACATGTGCTTTACCACCTGTCTATTCACATGTGTAGTCCTCTACCATCAGTTCAAGGGTAGTATTCAAATATTGCCTTAAATGCACAATAGAGGACAGAGTTTTATATTCCTTTGATCTTTCAGACTCTCTGTGGCTGCTACAACCTGCCTGCTCTCTTTCCCAACTAGCCACTTTTCATTCTTTATTCCCTCCCATCTCACATGCCTTGTCTGGAGTACCTAGCCTTCCTCGCTCCTTCATCCTTTGAATCCTGCCTAGCCTTTAAGCCCAAGATCATACTGCCCTCTCATGAAACCATTTCTGATCTCTGTATCCTACAGTGACCTCTCCCTCTCCAGATTCCTCTGACCCAGTGATTTGCAACCATGACTATACATAGGAGCCCTTAAAAGTATAAAAGCCTTATCCCTGAAGAGTCTGATTTTATTGATTTGTGGTGGGACCCAGGAATCCGTAATTTAAAACACCACACAGAGGGCTTCCCTGGTGGTGCAGTGGTTGAGAGTCCACCTGCCGATGCGGGGGACACGGGTTCGTGCCCCAGTCCGGGAAGATCCCACATGCTGCGGATCGGCTGGGCCCATGAGCCATGGCTGCTGAGCCTGCGCGTCCAGAGCCTATGCTCCACGACGGGAGAGGTCACAGCAGTGAGAGGCCCGTGTACCGCAAAAAAAACCCCACAAAAAAACAAAAAAAACCCACCACACAGAGAATTCCCTGGCAGTCTAGTGGTATAGGACTTGGCATTTTCACTGCCGAGAGCGTGGGTTCAGTCCCTGGTTGGGGAACTAAGATCCTGCAAGCTGTGCGGCACGGACAAAAACAAAACAAAAACAAACAAAAAAATACCCTCACCACACACTTACTGTGTGGAGCAGTCAGTTGTCTGAGTCCTTACATTTATCAACTCACCTGATCCTCAGCACAACCTGGGAGATAAGCACTGTTATTCTTAGTTCAGAGAAGAAGAAACTGAGGTGCTAAGAGGTTAACTAATTTGCCTAAGGGTACAGTAGTTGGGGACAGATCCAGGCAGAGTGTTTTGAATCCAGGCTCTTCACCACCATCTACTTCCATTCCTCAGGCCTGAGCAGTACAAGTGGCAGTGTGAGGGAGGGGAAGGAGTGAGCCCTGCCTGAAGTATACATAGTGGTGGTTGTTCATCCCCTGCCCCAGAGGCTGAGCTGCTTCATGTAGAACATAAATGCTTAGAGCAAGTAGTCTCTGAAATTCTTCAAACTCAGCAAAAGGATTATTCTTTTAATGTAGTGTGTATGATGTCTTCCTGCTTAGATTTAAAGCTCCCAATGTGAAAGAACTTTTGCTTTTATCCCCCATAGCAGTGAGCCTAGCATGTTGACAGTGATAGATGCACAATGATGCTGGCTGGATAGAGATGGGAGAGTAATAGTCTTTGAACTATTGGCACGAAGGTCATGTATGGGAGGAGAAAAATTCTTTTTTTCATTGGCTGTAAATTAGACAAAAGACATATTTACAAGAGAAAAACGATCGGAAATTTATTAACATGTGCCTCATGCATACACATGGGAGTACTCAGTGGTGGGTAACTCAAAAGGGGTGGTTAGAACTTGAGCTTATACAGCATCTTAACAAAATAGCAATAACTTTAGAGAAGTGACAAGGCAAAGTAAAAGGACTTTGAGTTTCTAGGCAGTAAATTGTGGGAATGTTAATAATATATGGGGGAACTAATGGAAGATAAGGGCTAGTTAGTAAAGGTTTGCTATGTAGATTTCTCTGGTGCCTATCCCTGGGCTGATAAGGGTCTAGAGTTGTATCTGGAGATTAATTTCTGTCCTCCTGGTAGAGAGGGGAAGGAGGACACCTTTGCAAATTTATGTTCTGCTTTTAGGCAAATGGGAGAGGGCAGAGAGCCTTTCTTGTGTCTGCTTATTAATTGCCTTCAGCTCAAAATAATCCTTATGCCAAAGTGGCATATTTTAGAGTGGTATATTCTGTTACCCTTTATTCATCATCCATAGTAAGGTCTAGAAATCTTCTCTACATCCTCAGGGATGCCTTTTGATCTCTCATCCTGAGGTGTGGACAAGGCAGACTCCTGGATAAGCAGAGGTGTGTTTTGTGTTAAAAGGCATTCATGGCGTTCGGGGATGTGGCTGTGGACTTCACCCAGGAGGAATGGAGGTTGTTGAGCCCTGCTCAGAGGACCTTGCACAGGGAGGTGATGCTGGAGACTTATAACCACTTGGTCTCACTAGGTAAGAATGGCTTCCCATAGCACTTAAAGTCTGTCTCACAGTATTTTCTGTATGTCACGAAGAAAGGCTACTCAGAAAGCAGCTTTGAAAAAAAAAAAAAAAAAAAAGAAAGAAAGCAGCTTTGTCTTAGGGTTGGGCTTCAAAACAAAAATTTACCTTTTTCCTCAGGTGGATCTGGATTCAGTAGAGTTGAAAGCAGGTAGATTTATTCATATTGTATATGCCACTCTGCATTTTTTTTTCTTACTTTATCTTTCCCCAAACCCAGGATATTTTCATTCACCGTGTTAATATGCTGTTTTTCTGATTGGAGTCACCTTTTCTTACTCAACCCTTCTACTGCAGAGAGTTCACTATTCATAGGTCCTCTATATCACCCTCTGGGTTTCCCTCTCCATTTTGTCTCTGAGTTCTGGAATGGCCCCTTGAGCTCATAACCAAGAGTCTCCTTTTTTTCTTTCCTTATGAGCAGAAATTCCATTTTCCAAACCAAAACTCATTTCTCAGCTGGAGCGAGGGGAAGAGCCCTGGATAAAGGAGAGGCAACGTCCACTGAGTCTCTGTCCAGGTGAGTGTGACACAGGGTAGTTGGAACCGTCTGCAGCATGGCAGGTAGGGAAGGATGAGGCATCTCTCAGGTACTGGGAGGAAACTCTTTTCTAGGCCCCTAGGTCCCTGGTAAGGCTGCCTGGCATGACCTCTTTTCCAGAATATCATCTTCAGTTAAGGGAGGGACTTTCCTGGTTTCTTTGTCGCTTCCCTCCACCAGGAAGCCTCCCTTCCTCTCACTTGGCATTGTTTTCTGCGGGGGATACTTGTGACCAGTTCAGTCTGCTGCCATTTTCAGAAGTGGGCTTCATCCTATTTATTTTTGACTTGATATTTGGAAATTACTTCAAAATTACAGAAAATTTGCAAAAATAAAAATAGTACAAAGAACATTCTTATGTCCTCTACACATATATGGCATATATATATATATATTTTTTTTTTTTTTTTTTGCGGTACGCGGGCCTCTCTCACTGCTGTGGCCTCTCCC